GGAGCATCAGAGGCGCCCCTCTTTCCTCGGGAAACACATCCTGTCTGATGCGCTGCGTCTTTTAAAGAGCGCCTCTCAGGACAGTGGTGCCAACAGTCTTGGGCAGCTGAGGCCATAGTGGCCACACGGTCCTGCCCGCGTGGAGAGCAGAGCTTTGAGGACCGTGTGTGCGCAGGGGCTGGGAAGACGGGAGGAAGAGTTCTCTGTCGATTCCGCGTTTTCTGAACGATAAAGCAGATTCCTCCTTCCCGGATACTTCCCGTAAGGCAGTCTGTCTCCAAGTTGTGTTTTTGTGGGTTTTTTAATATATTTTTATTGATTTCAGAGAGGAAGGGAGAGGGAGAGAGAAACATCAATGATGAGAATCATTGATCAGCTGTCTCCTGCATGCCCCATACTGGGGACTGAGCCCACAACCTGGGCATGTGCCCTGATGAACTGTGACCTTCTGGATCAGAGGTTGATGCTCAACCACTGAGCCACAACAGTGGGCATTTCTCTGAAGTTGGTTTTTTAAAAAAATATAATTTATTGATTTTTTTTTACAGAGTATTCCGCGTTCTCTGAACGATAAAGCTGATTCCTCCTTCCCAGATACTTCCTGTAAGGCAGTCTGTCTCCAAGTTGTGTTTTTGTTTTTTTAATATATTTTATTTTTTTTACAGAGAAGAAGGGAAACGCCCTATCCACTGAGCCAAACCGGTCAGGGCTCTCTGAGGTTTTTTTTGGACGTTCTCTCTTCTTACGCCACTTTTTCTGCTTCTTGCTATTTGTTCTGGTTAACAAAACGGGAAGGTTACAACCTAAGCCCTGGCGAAGGAATGGTTACCTTTTATTGCCCCAGACCCCACACTTTATTTGTGCTGCTCCGGTGTGGCTCATGCTCTGGTGTGGCTCCTTAATTGAAACTGCCGCCCACGAAGCGGAAGCCGAGTCTGTAAAGTGGTCGCACAGAAGCTCGGAACACAGACCTCGGGAGCAGCAGTGTGCCGAGCTGGGGTGGAAACGGAATCTCTCTGGGCCCTCTGAGACGGATTTGATGTGTTTGGAAGGTGGTGCCTGGCATGTATGGCTGATGGCTGATTTAACAGCCATCCCCAACCCTCCAAAGGCAACACCAAGTCTATCCTATCTTCCTGACATTTTCCACACTGGTTTTCTATAAACGTATCATGTAATCTGAAGCCAGGACAGGCCTGAGACACTGTGTTGGCCAGGTACGCGCAGCCTTTCCCAGGTGTGCCAAGCTGCCAAGTCATCCTCTGGCCAGGCCCGCTACCGGCCCCAGGTCAGCCTCTGCTGCCGCCTGTGCCGTCTGAATGACGTGGGGCCGCTGCCACTGTCCCCCATCAGTGCCTCTTCCCTGCTCCCATCTGGTGGCCCAGACATGACAGGGGGCAGGAAAGACGCTGGTGCCAGGGTGCGGAGCCATAGCCCCAGAGCTGCTGGCCCCCCTCTGACACCCAGGCTCCCCTCAGCTGCACGGACACCCCCAAACTCCATCTACCCCTGATCTGGCCCGTCTCTAACTTCAAAATATTCAGCCCACTCTACCCAAGAGCCATTATTGTTTCCTTGGGATCCCCAGAGAAAGGACTTCATCAACTTCGTGGGGAAATGTAATCTAGTTGGCTTTCCAAGGCCATTGGCTATGACTTCAGCTTCCTCGCTTGGGTTTGCTAATGTCTGAGGAGGCCCGAAGCCAGGGTTTAAGTCATGGTTTGGGGTTTACACTGGACATTTGCACGAAAGGAGATCCAGCCCTTTTCCTCGTGGGTGGGGGTCGCCTCTGAGGGTGAAGGGTCTCTGACCCTGGTCCCATTAGAGCTTGTGCGGGAAGCAGCGCAGATGTAAAGCTGAAGGGCGCAGAGGAAGCTCCCGTTCTGTGCGTCTCAGCGTCCTTACCCCTCTCCCCCGCCCCCCCCCCCCCC